ACACACACACAGACACACACAGACACACAGACACACACACGAGAAAAACACAGACTGAACCAAACAAACAACATTAAAATATAGTTTCATTCCATCAATTTCAGAAGTGAATCCAGAACAATGAGAGAAAGAACACGATCTGACAGACGAACGCAGCTGATTCTCAGACTAAAGTCTGCTAAATTAATAAATGAATGAATGTCATGTAAATTTAACTCATGCTCAGAGATCATGGAGAATTTTTGGTTGCACTTTATTTTACAGTACATGTACTTACAGTGTACCTACCTAAGAAAGTTCTGGTAACATAAGGTAACTACATGGGGTAGGGTTCGGTTTAGGTTTAGGTTCAGGGTTCGTACCTAGTTATTGTAGTTATTATAATAATAGTGTATACATGAGGAACATGGCTGTAAAATAAAGTGCCACCGAATTTTTTCACACAAGACCGGAAGAAAACAGCTACAGAAAAATGCTCTAGAAATCACTTGGGCCATCCTAGCAACACCTTAGCAACCACCCAGAATACCCTAGCAACTGCATAGCAACACCCTGTAAACAAAAAATACACTGTAGCATCATGCACTGCAAAACAACAGGTGGCGAAACTATTTATTCTCAGATATTGCTAGTAAATTTCACAAACAATTAGAAACAGCAATGAATGCATTGAATTAAACATGAAGTAGAAAGACTGAAATAGTATTTTCTTGCAAAGCATACTCTGATAATCATTGAAAAATGATTATTGTGGAAAATACTCACATATTCTTCTGAATGTATAAATGCTCTGCTCAGGTCACAATTGAAGACTAATTAAACCGATCATTTTAATTATTAGATATACAAATCCAGTGCCATTTCTGTTCTTCGATAGTAAAGTGGAGCAGCTCGAGGGGAAGCGAGAGGAAGTCCTCAGGGTTTGCTCTGTTTTGCATAAATCAAAGGGCTGCGGATTCGAGCGAAGCACACACACAGACACACACACACAGACACACAGACACACACACGAGAAAAACACAGACTGAACCAAACAAACAACATTAAAATATAGTTTCATTCCATCAATTTCAGAAGTGAATCCAGAACAATGAGAGAAAGAACACGATCTGACAGACGAACGCAGCTGATTCTCAGACTAAAGTCTGCTAAATTAATAAATGAATGAATGTCATGTAAATTTAACTCATGCTCAGAGATCATGGAGAATTTTTGGTTGCACTTTATTTTACAGTACATGTACTTACAGTGTACCTACCTAAGAAAGTTCTGGTAACATAAGGTAACTACATGGGGTAGGGTTCGGTTTAGGTTTAGGTTCAGGGTTCGTACCTAGTTATTGTAGTTATTATAATAATAGTGTATACATGAGGAACATGGCTGTAAAATAAAGTGCCACCGAATTTTTTCACACAAGACCGGAAGAAAACAGCTACAGAAAAATGCTCTAGAAATCACTTGGGCCATCCTAGCAACACCTTAGCAACCACCCAGAATACCCTAGCAACTGCATAGCAACACCCTGTAAACAAAAAATACACTGTAGCATCATGCACTGCAAAACAACAGGTGGCGAAACTATTTATTCTCAGATATTGCTAGTAAATTTCACAAACAATTAGAAACAGCAATGAATGCATTGAATTAAACATGAAGTAGAAAGACTGAAATAGTATTTTCTTGCAAAGCATACTCTGATAATCATTGAAAAATGATTATTGTGGAAAATACTCACATATTCTTCTGAATGTATAAATGCTCTGCTCAGGTCACAATTGAAGACTAATTAAACCGATCATTTTAATTATTAGATATACAAATCCAGTGCCATTTCTGTTCTTCGATAGTAAAGTGGAGCAGCTCGAGGGGAAGCGAGAGGAAGTCCTCAGGGTTTGCTCTGTTTTGCATAAATCAAAGGGCTGCGGATTCGAGCGAAGGCTTCGCTGGTCAAGCAGAATATCTCCTGCTTTCATTTGACTGCCTGTGTCTAGTTAAAGCAGAGCCGCTGCTGTTTGCCATCTGAATGAACTAGAAATCCTCCAGCGTCCCGTTACACACAGTGAGAACAACAGCATTCATCTGAGCACACAAATCGACAGCAGAGGACATTTATCAGAGTGGACTTACTGTCAAACCCTAAAAACTGAAAGAAAAAAAAAGTTAAGGAACATCGCCACTGCTTTCGCCAAAGAACCAAAAGATACAGTGGGGCATGTTGTCACACTATAGAAATAATAATAAATAAATAATCAAAGAAAACAAATATATATATAGATATCAATTTCAGTAGTCAAACATATAAGTAATAAATAAATAAAAAATAAAATATATATATATATACACACTTGAAAAAAATTAAAATTTTCACTCAGAAATTGCTAGTAAATTGTACGATTAATTAAATAAATAAAAACAAGTAATGCATTGAATTAAACCAGAAATTCTGAGGCAGAAAGAATGAAATAGTATACAGTTTTACATTATGGTTTTGCTTTATTTAACAGTTAAATGATTATGAAACAAAAATGCATGAAAAAAAAATGTTGGTGTAAAATTCATTTTCACACCTGTGACAACTTACCCCACTTTTAATATTACTAGAAATGTCCACATTACTGACCAGGTTTGACATGCACATCATTGTATGATTAAGATAGATATTCTGGATTTTTTATAATGACAAATAAAGTCAATTTGACACGATACGGACTAGAATATCAGAGGAGATTCACTTCTGACCAGGAACAGAGAAGAACACATTCATTCACTCACTCGATGTACTGTACGTTCATAATGCATAAACACACTCATACTGTGTTTCTCTGTTTATAATGTAACAAAGGATTTAATACAGACACAAGTAATTGATAAACATGAGGTTGTTGGTTTATTTCTGATGAGGTGGCGTTTCTTCAGAGGAAGCTCAGGTCCAGTGCACTGATGATTCTGCCATAGATTAGCACAGCCTGTAAAGAACTGCTGACATTACTAATACAGGCTATACTAATTAAAGCCAGAGTCATCAAACCAGCCTTCAGACTTCTGACGACGAGGTCACGTGAACATGAGCTGCTGAGCGACTTCAGACAATGATTTCAGTCTTTCTGCTTCAAAATCTCACCTTAAACTCAGTGTGTTACTTGCCTTTTCTTTGTAAATATTAGTGAGATTTGCTAGAAATTTCTGAGTGAAAAATGTTGCAGAGTAAGCATTTTGTCAGTGTACCCAACTGAAAAATTATAAAAAGGTTACAAGGTTTCAAATAAAAATTAAAGGCATCACAATAAAAATATAAAACTATATAAATACAATTTATACATTTTATAAATAAAATAAAAACAAATACATAAAATGTAATTGTTATGCTTAAAATAGGCTTTATTTTGTCATTTCTTCTTGATTTTCATTTTGAAGTGAGATTGAACTCATCCCTGACAGGTTTTTTGTAGATTCACCCAGATCTAGACTGCTTAAACCCGGGTTAGAGGACATCTCTAGGGTTTATATGGCAGGTCATTATTAAAGCATCAGTACTAGTTAAACATGACAGACGAAAAGAGTTCAGTAAAATTACATTACATACAAAAACACACCATGAACCCTCACAAAAACACCATCCTCTCGGTAAACACATAGATGAAGGTTTCTAATGGAGATCAGAGAGAATCTGCCCTTCCATTTACAGACACGCCATTAGGATCCATTACTCAAACACAAGCCATTCATAATGTCACATCATACTGATA